TAGTTGCCCCACCAAAAGAAGAGGAACATTTGTATTATAGTTGTAAGCACTACCATTCACTTAATGTTCAAATGGTAAATATTAAGTTTTTTTATTTTTCCTTGGTTAAAAAGGGGTAGAAAATAAACAAAATGTCTTCTTTTCAGGTATGTGATGATGAATATAGAATTTTAAATGTGAATTCCAAGTTTGGAGGTGCTAATCATGATTCCTTTATATGGGAAAACAGTAATTTAAACACATACATGCAATCTTTGCACCAAAATGGAGAAATTGTCTGGCTTTTAGGTAATATATCCACAGTATAACTTATTGGGATGTTTTGAGTTATATGAAGTATTTTTAAGTAAAACATTACTAAATAATTTCTATCTATATTATTGACAATAACATGTATATTTTAACTCTAGGAGATTCTGGATATCCCCAACGCCCATGGCTTATGACACCATTTTTAGACACTGAGTCCAATAATTATAATGAAAAACACATGAGAGCTCAAGTTGTTATTGAGAACACATTTTCAAGGCTGAAAAATCGATGACGATGTCTGCACAAGGATAGAGTTTTGCACTACAAGCCCGTAAAATGTGCACACATTATTTTAGCATGCTCTGTGTTACATAATATAATTATTAATTTTGGTGTTGAGGATACAGAGGAAAATATAGGTAGGTATCTTAATTTTAAATTGAATTACTATAATATATTAAGCTAACTTATAAACAGTAAACTTATTAATTATGATTTATTTTTAGGTCTGCAATTTGAAAGAATGGTGGAATCTGATCAAATAAGTTACACAGAAAGAGAACCTACCTCTGATTTAATTCAAGGTAGAATATTAAGAGATCAATTAGCAAGAAGGTTACTATAGGGATTAAATAAATAAATTTGAATAAGCTTAAATCTTTCTTTTATTTATAACCAGCCTTAAATTTTATCACAAATTTAATTAAATAATTACAATTACAACTTAATACAATAATTTAATAATTACAAGAACATTGAAACAGAACAGAAAAGTAATCTAAATTATTTTGTAGAGCCATGCTACAGCTATAATTGTAGTATAGTTGTAGCACGAATAGGTCGGCTCGACCGGGGAAGGACCACGCTCTCACAGAATACCAGCGTAAAATAGCAGCCTAACACTGCTGTGTTTCATATGGTGAGTGTAGAGAACCGGAGTCCCTTGTGCTGCCTGCTCTGTGTGTGCTGGCCTCACTCGTCTTCGAGGTGATCCTCGAGTACGAATTGGTCTTGCACGGCAAGGTGTAGTTTGCCCCGACAAAGCAGGCCCTGGTTGACTTTCTTGGCAACATGAGGTTGTGTTGATTGCCCTGGGTCGTTCCAAGATTGAGAACCTTAAATATGAAAAATATAAATGAAACTTTCAACAAAATCAATATACCTAGTAGTTGTGTACAAGAACCAAAAAGACAAACAAGTTGGCTTTTTTTTGAAGCAAATACATACATAAACACTCACGCCTGTCACCCAGAGGGGTAGGTAGAGACTACGGACTTCAATGTTTCATAGAATTAGAGAACCAAAACCCAGTTTAAACCAAAATATATAAAAATAAATAATCATTTAGACGTACCTTCTTCCATTTCTCAGTACTTTTTGTATCACCACTACCATCACTATTCAAAAATTGAGCTAATTCCTCCCAGTTTTTTATACAAGCCATCCTACCTCTTGCATTATTGGATGGTTTGCTGAGATCTCCATGCCTAAAACCAATAAACTTAGTTACAAAATATACAACAACATATTAATATGTTCCCTAAACACTAAATAAATTAAATTCAACTTACTGCTCCATAATTGTCACCATCAAATCGAATTGGGACGAACTAGTCTTCATATTTTTTCACTTATAATTATAATTTAATATTTTCAATAATCGTAAGTTCACAACAAACAAACTGACAAAGTATATGAAAGATGCTATAATAACCACAACTTTGATAGACAGCTTCTAATATTAAGACGACTAAGTAACTATGTCATCCTAAACTTGGTTAGTTTATTTCACGACGCTAACGTGTTACCAACATAAGAGAAGGAACGAACGCGATTCACGGTGAGTAAACGCGAATCGAAAGGTTAGCTTCGATTGTAACACACACTCGCTTGTCTTCACTTGTCGATAGGTATGGCGTTAACTCGGTTAACGCGATGGTGAAGTCATTCGAATTATTTTGTGGAACTCGCACTAGGCACAAACTAAGAGAGAATAACAACTAGCAACATCATTCTATTTAGAGTAATCGTGTTTCTGAATTACACTGCATTTTACTATCCCTTTCTTTTTTTTTAATCCGGTCAAGTGCAAGTAAGACTTGTGCCCTAAGGGTTCCACATTAACTTAATTATGTATCTGAATAAAATAGTCTACTCATCCTAGAAAACATGCGTAAATTAAACAAAGGGTATTGCTCTTCATAAAAAAAATGTTCTCCCATACATCGGTCTACATCACTGTTCACTGTCGATACTCCAACTGTAAATTTGCAATATTTTTTATGTAAAATATTATAACAAAAAATAACGATTTTCAAATTTATTCCGTTACTATTGCTGTAAGACCTTACTTTTTGCCAAACATGATTCTAGGTCAACGGGAAGTATCCTACAGATTTTCATGAGTTCGTGATCGTCAAAATATGTGATATATGTCACATATTTTGACGATCACGAACCGTATATTGGATGACGTTAACTTATAAGCTCGAATTATTTACACCTCTAAGGGACTATGAACATGAGTGTTTGATATTAACTTCAACTTGATACCTCTACCCATTACTGAAAAAACGGTCCGACTAACGGAAAACAAAGTGATTGTATCAGAGGTTCCGTTTTATCTTTTTTAGGGAACCTCTAAAACGATATAAGCAATACTGTTATCACTATTTTTACTCGTCTTAGTTATTCTAACTAAGCGTAAATGTCATAACTATTGTAAACAGTAATGTTATAAATAAATTATTTTTATTATTATGTAAATCGTGAGTGGTTTAGGACAGTAGTAGTTGAACTTAGGAATCCTATGTCTTTTATGGTTGTCTGTTATCGCTTCTATTTAATATAATATTACGGTGGCAGTTTAAAAGAAAACGTCAACACACGCCTTAACATTTTAAATGCTTCTAATAATCTGAAATTGTAAAAAATTGCTTTTACTGAATACTTTTGATAAAAATGTTACGAACATTGTTGCATTGAAAGCTCTTAAAATAGAGATAATCTGTTCTCATTCTTGTCAAGGATGGAGGTAAAAATGTAAGCATAAAATGCATTATAATAAATAACTATGTTATATTAGTATTCAAATTCTCAACATTTTCAAATGAAATATGCAGATTATACAAGACCAATTACGAATCATATAAATTTTAAGACAATTGCGATATCTTTTATAATAATAAATTCAGAGGGGGAATTTACGGCTTTAGGGGCTCGGTGTCAAATATTCCCCATACATTAGCAATGCAGTCGTGTAGTGCCGTAGCAACGTTACTATCCTAATAAATGCAATTGTATTCCCAAGAGAAAAAGCTAACAGTGTAACTCTAACTCATATTTTAAAGTTGTAATTTAATTAAAGATTTTCGGTTTCTATTACACGTGTGTACACAAAATAATGCCACAGTAAACATAATGTTTAGTGACTATAGTGAAGTATAGTTAGCCAACGTTTAAGAATAATAAAGGAAATCCATTCAAGCAGGAGCTGCTGCTGCTGCTTGACTATTCATTGTGTTTAATGACATCATAAAGACGTTCCAGCCCAAATGAAACAACAGACAATGTGACTGAAATGCGTCTCAGTATCCCTCCGCTTCATTTTATGCTAGTTAGATTTAGTTATTTAAATTATTATTTGGACTTTACTAGACCTAGTTTAACCATCTGCAATAGGCTGCACCTACCCACCAGCGATTTGTCCGCACCGAAACGACCACAGAGCAACACGCTTCGTGGATACGGCTTAGGGGCCTTCAAGAAAAGAGTCTACTATTATCTAAAAAGCCGACAACGAAAAAGCCTACGATTCTCCTAGTTTTGCATTTGATCAAATTTTATGAGTTTATATTTTACTGACCCAAATTATTTATTTAATCGATCCATCCATTACAGCATATAAAAGCTCTCTACTGAATGCTTTTTTTATTTTATTATTTAACACTAGGCTTTCCCTATAGATTGCCTCATAGGTGTGATTTTGCCATAGTTACCACGCTTGGGAGGTGGGTTAACCGCAGCTTGTTATTATTTTGAGTTGTTATTAGGAAGATGCTGCTGCCGTTCTTCTGTTTCAGCTTCCTTCTGCCACCACCTGCAGAAATGTATGGAGTAGTTGATATTCTTAGACCACTACCTGGGTACACGGTTCCTTCATTTATTTATTCATTCTTTATTGGTTTCTTTATTACAAAATAATACAAAGGGCGAAATTTAGGCGTTCTCTACTAGTCACCTATTTAATTCAGTTTCAAGGTATTTACGTTACAAGTTATAATGGATCTGGTAAAATGAATAGGACATAAAATAGGGCATATATATATATATATATATATATATATATATATATATATATATATATTTATATATATATATATAGATATATATATATATATATATATATATATATATATATATATATATATATATATATATATATATATATATAGATATAAGGGTGTCCCAAGACATAAGGGTGTCCCAAGACATAAGGGAAAAAAATTTTCGCGAAATCAATTACGCATACCCTCTATTTTTATTTGGATTGACCTCATTGACTCAAATAATAAATATTATTGCAATTGGCCAACGATAACCCGTGCCGACTTGATGCCAAACTTTTGACATGAAAATTTGTACTGACTTACTCTAAGAGGAATTAAGAACTTAATTTTTATTACTTAATTAAAACTCCAATACACCCAAATAGTATATTATTTATTCACTTACATTAAAAAATATTATTATTGTTCAAATTTTCTTTTTAACGTTTGTTTTTTAGAGTCAGGATAAATTTTCCGGTGTTCTTGTACGCAACGTAATAAAAATTGTTTTTGTTCCTCCTTAACAGTGATTAATCCATGAAAGTCTTGCATTAACTTAATCGTTCTTTCGGCTACATCCTTTACTACTGTCAGTGCCGAAACTTTTTTTCTGGCTTCTTAAAACGAAGCATTATTTGACCACAAAGTAGGACATTCATGTAGAAAACTGTCTTCAATTTTAAGGCGGTTGAACAAGAACTTGCTTTTTACTGAAATGAAGTCAGAGATGTTTTTTTCTGAAACAAAATAAGATAAGAGTGTTAAAAAAATATACTTTCACAGGGAACGAGAGTAAAAATTTATTTGACTATAAACGCCAATGTCCTTTAATAATCTTACCATACAATGAACCGCAAAGTTCTTCTTTCGATGGGATGTATCGTTTTCCGTGAGTTATTTCTTCCTCTTTTTTTAAATTTTGAACCATTTTGACTTTAGTTTCTTGGTCCACATCATCATCAAACAGTGATAATATAGAAACTTCGTCAGTTAAATACCACAAATTCCGAGTAATCTTCTGCAGCGCTGCTTTTGAAATCGTTTTATCAATTTTCTCGTAAGACTTCATTATTTTCAAAAAGCACTAATCTTGGTAAAGTGATTTTATTGCTGAAGTGCATTGAAGCCATGGTTTAACGTAGGATATTACGATGAACAAGCAAACATCAATCAATGCCGCCTTGTCTCTGTTTGTGATCTTGAATTGAGCACTAAGTAACGATATTTTCAGGGAATAAATCGCTCTCGCCATCCATCGAGCTTGATGCATGGCACCTGGTGGTCGATTTTAAATTTTTTCTCGATATCTTAACCTAAAAATGTCACAGAAAGCTCTATTAACTCTAGATAATCATCTCTATTTCTTTTGTCAGTTCAGTTGGGTAAAACTGTAGCAAGGTGTCAATTTCGAAGTCAGTCAGGTGCTGTGTAAGTTTTTCTCTATAGTTCTGTATTTTATCAGCCATAATACTTTTTCAGCTTTCTCGGTACTTTTTAAAGAGCGGAATATCGGGGCTTGAAGTTACTTGACTGATTTTTGCTTCAAATAACCCTTTTAAGACCAATTCATACACGTGATGTCGACAAGCGAAAATAAGCATTTCTCTGTTCAGTTTTTGTTCAAGAAGCACACAGGCACCGTTTATACGACCTGTATTTGAATCAGTAGTATCACAATAACGAATTTGCACTTTATCTTCTAAATTCCAGTCTGCAATTGCGTTCCAAATTGCCTGTGCTTGTTCACTTCCAGTAGAACTTTCTAGTCTTGGTACAGCAATAAGTTGTTCTTTGTTTTCATAAGTAATACCTACAGAAAGACGTTCTTCTTTTGATTTCCGAGTATTTAAAGCAGGCAAAAGCTTGCCGTCCGAATGAACATACACAACTTCCGGTACTTTATCAATTTTTATGGTTTCAGAGCGTTCTTTCTGTTTTCCTGTGTGAATTCTTTGGATGGAAGACTTACTAATCGGAAATTCATCAATATTATAGCCAAGCGCTTCAATAGTTGCTTCAAGAATGAACACAGAATCTCTCATACTCAATTGACACCTATCTAACGTTGCTACTAATTTTGGAGTATAAAATCTCTTCGCAGAGATGTTTTGCTGGGTTGTTTGTTCTCGACAAGCTTCGGTACGTCCTCTTGTAAATCTAAGTTTTCATTAGATGCAGATGATGAGTCATCTTGTAAAGGTACATAAGATGATGTCGAAGGAGTCGGCTCAGACAAATATTTAGCACGTCGTTTTTCTTCTTCGATAGTTCTGAGGCGCGCTCTTTTCTCTCTATCAGCCACTTTTTTATCCACTCCTGCTAAATGAACAGGTCGGCCTGGTTCTCTTTGATGCTGTATAAAGATTCTATCCTCATTTATTTTTATTAATTGAAGCGCATCGGCGTGTGCAATGTCAAACAAATTATCTAAATTGTTGACGAAATCTAGACGGCGCTGCTTAAAAACGTCTTGTGTCTTTTGTGCATTTTTTTGCAAGTCCCTCCAAACTTGATATAAGTTTACAAATTTTTTCACAGAATTAGGCAAAGATTTAGTTGGAATACGCGCCTTTTCCCAATAGATAATACACTCGCGAATAGTGAGATTCGTGCTTTCGTTGACAGTTAAATTCACTTCACGGATATTGTAAAATAAAACTGCTACAACATGTCCATTAGACGGAAGTTTCAAACCCGTCATTTCATGTTTTACGTCACTTATTAAAAATACATCCCTTTTGGAACTGGGTAATTGTACTGACATGTTGACTGATTGAAAACAATGCGAGTGCTATAACAAAATAACGAGTAAGCAAGCAAGCAAGCAAGCACATCGACACGTTAGGTGGCGTCAGCCTTAGAGAGCATGTACTGACATGTATTGTAAGTCGGTACGGGCTACCGAGGTCCTACCTTCTTAAAATTTTATTTATAATTGTTTTGACTTAAAAGTAAAAAAATAAGAGGGTATGCGTTAAAAAAACGACTTTGATTTTTTGGGACACCCAAATACATAGACATATATATATATATATATATATATATATATATATATATATATATATATATATATATATATATATATATTTAAAATATATATAAAATTATATATATAAATATATCCCCTATTTTATGCCCTAATAACATTGAAGTGTGTGTCTGTAATATCGAAATGACTGGCTTTTATTAAGCTCAGGGTGTTATTTGGCATGAATAACCATTTGTAATTTTTTGTCAAGCTCTGTCTGTTTGCTTCTGTGATAGAGAGCAATGCCAGTAGTGATGTTGGCTATATTTTATCCTAGAAACATGGAGTATATTTTGTGAAATAAAAAAACTGTGAAAATATTTTTGTTCAAAGTTTTGATGATTATCTCAAATTCTTTATGAGAAATTTCATTTACAGGCCCATCTTTAAAAGTTTTGATGCAAAATCGATTTTTAACCTTTTGTAAGTTCAACATTTTCATTAGTGGAAGAGATAAGATGAGAGACCCTCTTTACCTGAAATTAATAAATCTTCAATATTTATTTTCAACATTTTCCCGTATCGCACATAGTTTCAAATATAATATCAAAAACTGTGTCTATATTATTTTTTGGATAATTGATTACTTGCCAAAAGGCCATTAATTTTGCTTCATTTCAACGCGGCTGACGTGCCGGGTAAAAGCTAGTATTAAATAAAGATATTTGAATATCAAACGACCCCATATCGCCTTTTTTCCTCTAAGCAGTAAAAATATATTGCAAACGCCGATAAAGGTTATAAATCGTATCAAGTTAAATTTTGGCGCAATCTTTTGAGGAAATCTTTTTTTATTACATTGCAACCTAGAGCATCGGGATGAAACAGGACGGAAGTTCCAAGCTTTCGCCACATTCGTGCGATGTTACAGAATTATTGATGCATTGCTCTCAGCCACACTTCCACAGTATCCGGCACTGGTTTTATCTATGAAATCGTAAATGTGGGTTTAATATAGTACAGACACTGTTCGATACGGACATACAAGCATGGCTTACTAATATCAGAATAATGGATATATAACACTAATCAATACGATTTTTGGGTCTGACTTCTGGATGTCATTTGGTTTCTTCTACATTTACTGATAAAGGTAAAATAATTTAATTTTTTTTTTTAATTTAAAAATAATTACTGAATTTTTTCATAATTTATTATAAAACACATTCAGAATTTTTTGCTGAACATCGAAGTCTTTATTTCAAGAACAATAATTATTAAAATTATGTAAAATAATTAAAAAAAAATCAAGTTCAATAATCCTATCCCATCATATTCTCGGTGTACTGCCCTTGTTAGCGTCGTACAAAGTCCATAACATCGTGGTGAAAACAATCTCCTTGCGCTTCTGTGTAACATATGAAGTTTATGAGATATTCTGATATAATATACATATAATTAGTTAAAGAAAGTTATGCTTCGGTACATACTTTTGAGTTTTAATACCGTAGAAAATAACAATGATATGAGATAAGTATTTTAACTGTAATGAAAAATGCAAGTTTGGCGAAGTTAGCCCTTGTACGGTAGCGTTTACTCGTATAGAATGAAAAATGGAAGCTCTTCAGAGATGTGTCCCCTCAATCTTCTAGAAACTTTCGTAAGCACTTAAAGATTGCGTTGTTTACAGTAGTATAGTGAATTTCAGCAACTCTTTTATTACTAACTAGAAATACATGCGATCTTGAGTTTTTTTTTTAAATAGCTAGCTAGAATTTTATAAAATGTGATTATCTTAATCACGCCATATTAATAGATCCCATGAGGACAATACCGGGACGGGTTGCTTGTCCTTAAGTTTCCAAAAAATACACATTATACCAACTCAACTTTGTATGTATACTGTACACTGGAAAACTGTCAGTAACTTAACCATTAATAGATAGATGCAAATTTTAGTTTGTTATATTAGTTGCTGTAAAAATCTACTTCAAAAGAAGCCCATAAGTGCGGTTGCCAACCCTCCTGCCAAGCTTGACAACTATGGCAAATATCCCACCTATGAGACAATCTGCGAGGCGCAGGCCTCCTCTCATTCCTGTGATTGATTAAAAAAAAGGCTCAATTCGTTTTGACAGAATACATAAAGTTTTAACTTCCCAAACATGTAGATTACCTTATAATGTAAAACATCAGCGTTGAGCATGATGTGTTAAATCAGTACTAAAACAATCAACAATTAAATTGGTGTTGGCGGAGTTCTAATTCGGTTTGCCCCAATACATTGACATATAACATGATGACATATAAAAGTGAATGCTTATCCACAATCAATCTAGATTAGTATTTAAATTATATTGGTTTGCCTTTAAATTATTCTTTCAAAAACTGTCAATCTTTGGGGTTCGGAATTAAGGCAATGAGTAATTTAGCTAAAAGACAAAGTATTTGAGGAAAAAGAAAAGCCGATTTATTCAAGAAAATGCGAGAATCAATCACAACGTAATCGTATAGAATGAGACATTTCATGTCACGTCTAAAAAGTCGTCACGATTCCAATTACTTTTGCCATTCCAATGGGATTTTATTTGAATATAATAAACGTTAACCGCGGTTTGATCGTGGGGATCCATATAAATAAAGATGTAAACTTGTTTTCAAGCTCGTTTAATGCAATTGGTAATGTCAATGTCGCTTAAGATTGAGAATGTTAATTGGCATAAGATTGAGCATGGACTGTTGTTCTTTTAAAAAGTCCCATCGAGCTAGCTTGCCAAAATATCTCGCGAGAGTCTGAACACATTCCTCATTTGCTCATTGTTATGTGTAACTGCCCGATTCCAGGGTTACGACACATTAACACTTCCTTCCTTAAGTTGAGCACTATATAGTGAGATGTCTTCCATGTATGTATCTCGTACTGGACTTCTTCTTGGTGTATTAGGTTCTCGTTGGGTAGAGGGATGACTTGGTTCATCGAGATGCTGCTGGTGTGTTTTTATCGTTGTTTTCATGATATTAACTTGACAGTCCTGTGTTAGGTTGATGAAAAATATTCGTGATAGGTTTGATGGATGAGATATCTAATATAAATGATAAAG